GGACAATATTGAACTGGCATCTGGGTCATGGGCATCCAAAGCTTATAGATGCACGTGGGGAGCGAGGACTAGTCCTTCTGATCCAGTCACACATAAGAGCTACTCTAGCTCAAATTGCTGAACAACTTAATGCTGGCTATGATGGAAAGATTGGTCAAAGTCTTCAATTGGGAGGTGAGCGTCAGAACTGGACCATAGAGCAATGAAGAAGGTTGGATGGCCATGTGCATTCAATATGAAAACCATCTATAACTTGTGTAAATCTTTTTTATATGATGCATTCTTTTTTTTTTTTAAATAAAGACTTAGGAAACATCTCTTTTTTTTTACATTTTAAAAAGTAGTGCTGTTAAAGTATAAAAAAAAGAGGTTCAAGTGTGCACTTATTTTTCCAATAGAATTTTCTGCCAAAGTCAGAGTAGCAGATCTTCCCTTATCCTTTCCCTTCAAATTGCGAATGCGTCTTTTTTTTTTTGCTCATAGTGATATTATAATTTGTCAATTTTTGGGAATATTATCAATGGTAAATCTTTATACATAAAAAAAAAATGGAGCTTGCACACAAAACTGACAAAATATGAACGTGAATTGCACAGTTTTTATGCATAACCCACATAGTTTCTGCTTCTATTCTTCTGTCTATGCTCTCTCTTTGCTGACAGAACGTTGAAAAGGGAAGAGCTTAAAACAATGATTGTCAGGTGACAAGATAGAAGCATTCAGTTCTAATTATTTTTCAGTGGTGTAGTTTTTTCAATGTAATATTATATTTTAGACGTTACAAACACACATCAAATACATCAACATAATAATAACATTTATAAAAAAAAAAAAGATGATTCTCCTTTAATGCTTGTTATGTATTTTCAGTAATACTTTTTATTTTCTTTCTAGTTCCCAACCGGCCCACTATCGTTAATGGAAGTGCAGTCAATACTACAACAATAAGTCTCAGCTGGAATGCTCCAAGTGATCCTAATGTCAAGTTTTACAAATACCGTGTCATATGTAGTTTGATAAATGGTGCAAATACCACAACAGAAGAGACTAACCGCACAAACACTTTGATATCCAGCTTGTCTCCCAGCTATCTTTACAATGTATCACTCTCCTCCTTAATCAGTGATGTAGAAAGTGTGGCAAGTCAAATACTGCTTCAGACACGTGAGTCCAGTATTAACTCTGTGGATAGAATATTTACATAGTTACATAGGCTGAAAAGAGACATTTGTCAAGTTCAGCCTTTCTCACATGTTTTTGCTGTTGATCCAAAAGAAGGCAAAAAAACACTTTGAAGCACTTTCCTATTTAGCAACAAACTAGGAATAAATCCCACCTCGACCCTACAATGGCAGTCATATTTATCCTTGGATCAAGAAGCTGTTACCCCACAATTTAAAATTATATTACTGAATATTATGTTTTTGCAAGTATTTATCCAATTGCTGTTTAAACATCTGTACAGATAAAACCACCTCTCCACCTATTGCTGCAGAATAATTTCTTAGCGGAGAAAAAAAAAACTGTCTAATGAGAAACCAAATCTATGGAAGATAATAGGATATATTGATATTCTTATACCGTGATATTTGAATATTTATTCACGTAAATTGAAATTTTTGAAGAAATCTCTGACCTATGACCCAAGGTTATTATTAGTACAAAGGATCAGATAGAAGGGTTAAAACCCTCAGAAGAATGGTAACTAATAGCTTGGCAGTTTTAGCCTAAAGATTGCTGGTCTGTTTTTAACTCACTACAGTTCTGTGTGTTTAGTGAATTAACCCCTATATTCTTATCTTTATTATGACCTGTAATTTGAAATTCACAGATTTATTCACAAAGATGTGAATCTGGGAATTCAAAGTGAATTTCTAATTTTAAAGGACTACTCCAGGAACCATAACAACATGAATCAACCAGGAAATCCCTCAAGCCATTTTATCAAAAGGGATCAAACCATTAATTAATTATTTAATGAATATTGTTATTAGTTTATTTTATTTACTCTATACATTCCAAGATTGTTTGCTCTGCCCAGCTACGTCCTTCAGAGTTCCATGGTTTTTATTAGAAAGCCTTGGCCAGGGCAGCACTCATAAACCAAGTGCTCTGAGACTCACTGAAAATCACTATTATAAAACTTTTTCTCTCAGTTTTCTAAATTGCTTGCTAGTGATAGACTGATGGCGTCCGCTGATGCTTTCAACCGATCAGCAGCACCTAGTCCGTGGCTTACTGAATAAAACCTCGGACCTCTGAAGGGTATTGCTGGTCAGAGCCATCATCAAAATGCTGTGTTGAAACCATTTGATAACGGTTTAACTCCTTTTGGTAAGACGGTGCCAAGGACCTAATGCCACCATATCAGCTTCATTGTGATATAATGTTATGATGCCCAAAGTGTCCCTTTTAGCCACAGTAGCCAAACCGAAAACATAGCTGACATGAGTATTTTTTTTTTATTAGTTTGCCGTTGTAGACTGAAATTGATATTCACTTTGAGTTCATCGCAGATCTCACTTAGCAAATAATCTAGACCGAGTATGGTTTTTCACTAAACCAGGAGTTTAGAATCGCATTGTTTTAGCCCAAATCCCTAAATAGGAAAAATACTCCAAATTAGCTATTTTCTACTCAAATAATTTGACCTAAACGCTTGAGGAAATAATATTAGTACGCATCAGTCTCCAGAAGTATGCTTAAAGAGCACACTCCATTGCGCAAATGCGAAATAACACAGTTTAGTAGATATACCCCTAATGAAAACTTGCATGCATTTAATTATGCATTTTTTTAAATTGGGGTATAGCTAAAAACAGCTTGCAAAACCTGTTGTTCTCTGCCCCTCCTAACCCCACCCAGACTTTCTGTGGCTGTCCATTCACCGACTTCCCAATGCAGCTCAATCAGAAGTATTTGCAAGGCATGTGCTCTTAGACATTGCTGCCTCTTCAGTTTAGCTCCACTGAGCTAACCAATCCAGGAAGTATCAGTAACTAATGTTGTATAAATTAAAGCCAGGGGGGTTTAACAAGGTTAATTTATAATAGTGCCAATTTATTTTGAAATATGTACTTTTTGTAAAATAAACAAAGAGGACATACTTTTCACACAAAATTTCAGCAAGCTCAAGTGCTTTAAGGGTCCAGAGTGTTCCTTTAAATCCTGTGAACATAGGTCTGTCAGGTAATGCTTTGTAAATGTACACGAGAAGTTTATAGTTATACATCCTATGATTCAACTAAATGTTATATTTAAAAAAAAAAAGAAAAATCATTTGGTAATTAATAAATGATTGACTGGGATTGATGAGTTCATCCTTACACTTGCAATATTGACAAATAATTAAAAAAAAATCTGAAAAAATATCTTCTTAATTTAAACAATATAAAAAGGTAGATAAACCTTTTATTGCATTCACTTTCTAAGAATCTCTTATGAAAACTTTCGCTAAGATTGTGGCACAAATGACTAGCATTTTTGTTTTTGGTTCCGGGGAGCCAACTAAAAATATTTCCATGTTTTTAATGAAATGTTTAGAAATGTAATGCTAACACTAATAACACTGACTGATAAGCTATATTTTTCACTTAAAAAAATTATTTTGTTCTTATAGAGCCAGAAATTGCTAATGACCTTAGTATTGATAATATCACAAGTACGAATGTCAGTTTCTCATGGATCTGTCCTCCTCGTGCAACTGGTGTTCAGATCAAAGCCACTACCGGTGGAAAAACCGAGGTAAAATATGTTACTAAACAATTACCTAGTCTCTTAAAAGTATCAGTCTATCTGGGACCATCACAAATGTCTCTACCTATACTATGAGTGACAGCCCTGGAATGGCAAGAGTTAACTCTTGCTGTACTTACAGCTGCTGACCACTTGGCGACGCAAGACAGTTCAGCAAACTAGGAAGTTCAGTGTATTTGGCATAATGCAATTTCAGTGATTGGCTGACACAATGTTCAAATGATCTCTGACATTACCATGATTATGTGTCTCCTGTACACATTAAAGCCAAGTGTGTTCAAAGTGTGCTGAATGCATAATTTTTTCACATATAGCACCAAAAAGTGTTGGGGTATTTTTTCTGCACACTTTTTTACTGTGAAATTGTGTAAGTATGATGTGTGACCAGATCATTGGACTATATGCTTTTCATGCCCTACAGATACACTTTTTATTTATAGGGACACTATAGACTCTGTACCCATTTCATCTCATTGAAATAGCTATAGTACCTGGACTTCTCTAGCGCTGCCTTTTCATTTAGTATTAAACCATTTTTAAGCATTTTAACATTAAAGAAATATCCCAGGCCACCCACAGCCTGGCACCTACTGGAGGTATGCCTATGGCAGAGATTACACAATTCATTCTACCAATTTATACCAGCAATAGGCGCTGTGATAAGCTGGATGCGGTCAGCTGACACTCTCAGCCACTCACAGCTGCTCAGGCTAATGCTTACTTAAAGGACAACTATAGGCACCCAGACCACTTCAGCTCAATGAAGTGGCCTGGGTACCAGGTCCATCTAGTGTTTACAACAAAACAAACATAAACACCACAAACTCAGTGCTCTGATAGTGTAAGTTACTTAACTTCAATTAGTATGCAGCCTCCCAAGATCGTTATCCACAACAAACAATCTTTACATATGCATAGAACCACAAACAAAGTTTGGGATACGGCTGTATAATCTATGGAGAGAACATACAAAAAAACTAAATAGTGTAATACAGTATATACAGTGGATTGTGCGCTTTAAATGAATGCACTCACAAGATGAAAAGAAGAGCGTTCATAAGGTGCCTCCCCTGATAGTATTGGGGGCTAGTGGTTCCCCTTGCCAATGCGAAGCAGCCAATGGAACACGGGACTCGAGGTAAGTAATAATCAAAGATCCAATAATTTTATTTACTTTAAAAGGTGAAATACACCATAAAGATAAAAATAAAAAATGCAGCAATAAGTCCAACGCGTTTCGTTCAAACTAGAACTTCCTCAGGGACCGCACAATAAAAAGTAACATACAATATCACAAATTGTAAAATAATGCATCCAAAATGCATTCTTTTACAATTTGTGATATTGTATGTTACTTTTTATTGTGCGGTCCCTGAGGAAGTTCTAGTTTGAACAAAACGCGTTGGACCTTTTGCTCCATCTATTGTTTACCCTGCAGCTGTAAACATAGCAGTTTAAGAGAAACTACTATGTTTACACTAGGGTTAATCCAGCCTCTAGTGGCTGTCTCACTGACAGCCGCTAGAGGTGCTTCCGCGCTTCTCACTGTGAAAATCACAGTGAGAAGACGCTGACGTCCATAGGAAAGCATTGAGAAATGCTTTCCTATGGACTGTTTGAATGCACGCTCGGCTCTGGAGAAAGGAAGCCCGGCGCTGGAGAAAGGTAAGTGTTTAACCCATTCAGCCCAGCAGGAGGGTGAACCTGTGGGTGGGGGGGACCTAAAGACTCAATAGAGCCAGGAAAACGAGTTTGTTTTCCTGGCACTATGGTGGTCCTTTAACCCAAGCAGCACAGAGGGGATGGACTGCTGATGACTCATGTTGAGCATTAAAACATTAAAAACTCTGTATAGAGTTGTATAGAGAGCACCAGGGAACTCTAAACCACATCAATCACATGAAGCAGTTTGTTTGGCTACAATCTCCCTTAATCCCTTATTTAAAAATGTAATATGGAACAAGTGTAATGTAGGATTAATTATTTCTTAATACCTTTATTGCAGTTTATAGACAAGTTACCATGGGTTTGTTAATGTGATACATTGTTATAAATTAACACAACCAAAAAATTCCTACAGGGAGTGCAGAATTATTAGGCAAATGAGTATTTTGACCACATCATCCTCTTTATGCATGTTGTCTTACTCCAAGCTGTATAGGCTCGAAAGCCTACTACCAATTAAGCATATTAGGTGATGTGCATCTCTGTAATGAGAAGGGGTGTGGTCTAATGACATCAACACCCTATATCAGGTGTGCATAATTATTAGGCAACTTCCTTTCCTTTGGCAAAATGGGTCAAAAGAAGGACTTGACAGGCTCAGAAAAGTCAAAAATAGTGAGATATCTTGCAGAGGGATGCAGCACTCTTAAAATTGCAAAGCTTCTGAAGCGTGATCATCGAACAATCAAGCGTTTCATTCAAAATAGTCAACAGGGTCGCAAGAAGCGTGTGGAAAAACCAAGGCGCAAAATAACTGCCCATGAACTGAGAAAAGTCAAGCGTGCAGCTGCCACGATGCCACTTGCCACCAGTTTGGCCATATTTCAGAGCTGCAACATCACTGGAGTGCCCAAAAGCACAAGGTGTGCAATACTCAGAGACATGGCCAAGGTAAGAAAGGCTGAAAGACGACCACCACTGAACAAGACACACAAGCTGAAACGCCAAGACTGGGCCAAGAAATATCTCAAGACTGATTTTTCTAAGGTTTTATGGACTGATGAAATGAGAGTGAGTCTTGATGGGCCAGATGGATGGGCCCGTGGCTGGATTGGTAAAGGGCAGAGAGCTCCAGTCCGACTCAGACGCCAGCAAGGTGGAGGTGGAGTACTGGTTTGGGCTGGTATCATCAAAGATGAGCTTGTGGGGCCTTTTCGGGTTGAGGATGGAGTCAAGCTCAACTCCCAGTCCTACTGCCAGTTCCTGGAAGACACCTTCTTCAAGCAGTGGTACAGGAAGAAGTCTGCATTCTTCAAGAAAAACATGATTTTCATGCAGGACAATCCTCCATCACACGCGTCCAAGTACTCCACAGCGTGGCTGGCAAGAAAGGGTATAAAAGAAGAAAATCTAATGACATGGCCTCCTTGTTCACCTGATCTGAACCCCATTGAGAACCTGTGGTCCATCATCAAATGTGAGATTTACAAGGAGGGAAAACAGTACACCTCTCTGAACAGTGTCTGGGAGGCTGTGGTTGCTGCTGCACGCAATGTTGATGGTGAACAGATCAAAACACTGACAGAATCCATGGATGGCAGGCTTTTGAGTGTCCTTGCAAAGAAAGGTGGCTATATTGGTCACTGATTTGTTTTTGTTTTGTTTTTGAATGTCAGAAATGTATATTTGTGAATGTTGAGATGTTATATTGGTTTCACTGGTAATAATAAATAATTGAAATGGGTATATATTTGTTTTTTGTTAAGTTGCCTAATAATTATGCACAGTAATAGTCACCTGCACACACAGATATCCCCCTAACATAGCTATAACTAAAAACAAACTAAAAACTACTTCCAAAAATATTCAGCTTTGATATTAATGAGTTTTTTGGGTTCATTGAGAACATGGTTGTTGTTCAATAATAAAATTAATCCTCAAAAATACAACTTGCCTAATAATTCTGCACTCCCTGTATAAAAGAAAAACATTAGGAAAGCAGAACAGATGTACTTTTGCTCAGCATAGGTACCATCCTTCTAAATAGAACACTTGGGAATGTATGCCCGTGACAAATTTAGGAAATGTTGCAGAGCCAAATTAGCTAAATGCAAATTTCTATTTTAATACTTGTAATGATTTGTTGTGTATGTACCTCCTTTGGAGTAAATTAGCAGACCTCAACTGTAACCCCTTACGAATCACATAAAGGTCTATTTTGAGGTACCCCAGGAATCATTAGATACCCAAAGGTCCCTCATGTCAGCTGGGGCAACAGTTATGAGCGCTGTATGTGAGCCAGACACATAGCCCTTTAAATTAATACCGACACTCAGCCACAGTGAGTTTAAATTGCCCTAGTATCAGGGAGACCCACCAGAGTCTGAAAAGACCCTGTTGAGGTCTCCCTACTTGCCCCATGCTCAGTGATCAGTGCTGGGCTTTACCAGCTGCCCAGCACCAATTTCTGTTCCTGGAGCTGCATCAGTGAGCTCTCCCTCGCATGTTGCCATCACAGAGCCCTCTGTACTATGTGAGCTATGAAATCCCTCTACTGATGTCAATACTGACATTAGCAGAGGGAATTCCTCTCGGGTGGGATTATGGGTTGTATTAAGGGAAAGTTATGTATTATTGTGATTGAAAATAGTAGCGGGGGGGGGGAGCGTGGCTAACCGCCGGAAAAGATGGATGCATAATCCTGAGCTTCGGCATCTGGGCTAAAAATCCTACGCCATCCTAGCACACAGAAAACGGGAAAAGCATAAGACATCAAGATGTTGCAGCCCAAAGCAAGAAAGAATGCCTCCAAAGCGGAAAAACTTAATTTCTATGGCCAAAAATTAAATCAGGCCGCGAGGGAATGTCAGGCGCCCAGCCGAGATGGCGGTGAGGACACAGACAATGGAGATCTGTCACCGATCACCTTGGGCAAGGAAGACACACTCACTCCAAGCCACCTCACGAAAGCATTAGGTGCTCTATCGCACAAGCTAATTACCACTTGGCAACACTCAATGGACTACCTCCGCAAGGTGTTCAAGAACTAGGCCGCAGGACAGCACACATGGAATCCAAAATGGATGACTTCACGACGGCTCACAACGACCTGGCGGACCATGTGGAAAATATGGCAGACAAGATAACACTCATGGAACATAAGCTAGCCGATCTGGAAGATCGGTCGAGGAGAAACAATCTCAGGCTGAGAGGAGTGCCAGAGTCGATGACACAAGCGAAACTACCAGCCTATGTCAGAGGCCTGCTTCGGGCCTATGGCCCAGAGATACCACCTGATATGCTCCTAGTAGATCAAGCACACCGGGTCCCACGTCCACGCCACTTACCTGACACTACACCAAGAGACGTGCTCATCCGCATACATTATTTTCACATTAAAGAGCACATCCTCCGTGAAAACAGGAATAAAAGCAAGCCGCATGAAGACTTCCCCACAGTCTATCTGTTTGCCGACCTTTCTGCAGCCACACTCCGACGACGGAAAGAATTTGCTCCAGTAACCGAAGCCCTCCGAACAAATGGCATAAGATACAGATGGGGATTCCCCACCAAATTTTAGCACTCAAAGAAGGCAGCTTTACAGCCATTTTGTCACAGAAAGATGGGCTCAGGAAACTAAGATTATGGGGCATCAACACGCAAGACAATACACAAGCAAGGAGACGCCGACTAGAGTGGATGAAGTCACCCACCAAACGCAAAAAACAGCCGCTGACCCGGGGAGAAAACCCGCTAGTATTCTGAGCCTGATGGCTCAAAGCACCATCTCATGTCACCTAGGCCCCCGAACCCTCATGAACTCATCAGCTAAGAACGCTCTCCACCAACACATTATATGAGTGATAATTTAACACTAGAGGCAGTGAGTTGGGTCCTGGGTGTCTCGGCCTGCCCGTCTTCCTCCATGAGGGGGGGAAGCCGGATAGGAGGATGCGGCCCGGGGCTCAGTAAAATTCAGGGGAGGGAGTGAGGACGGAAGTGGGAATTACAAAAAAAAAAGCCCAACTTGCAGAGACTGTGTTATAGTTATACATGTATGCCTAGTCTTCAATGGGGCTGAACCGAAACACCTAAGATGAACGGCCTTGCCGCTGAGGAGACCGCTGTGAATCCCCTTCTCAGTTTTTCAGTTTATGCTTATCATCACTCATTTGCCTTAATGTACAGCGGATGTAAAATGTTTAATGTGCACTGAATATGTAACAACCTAGGAATTATATTGCTTGATGTGTTGTCTAGACCTTCCAGTCCTGTTTCCTCCGAGACCGGAACACATAAATGGAAGGCGGATTAATCCACAACCAGTAGGAGATCAGGATGTTGGGGATAGCAGGGAGAGGGAGGGGTCTGGTGAGCAGGCACTTTGGCATGCCTCTTTCCGCCTGAAGCGGAATGTGGGAGAGCCGACGTAACCGCACTCTAGTCGGTGGTGATGAGGGGGGAGGTCTTGGGAAGACATTGAATACTAGACCAGCGGTAAAACTCCCTAGGCGGACACTTGGTGACACATGTCGCCCACTCAGGCATTACCCTTATACGGACTCTCACCTGTTACACATAGACCCGCGTAACTTTTTCTGTCCAATCAAACACCGACAAAAACAAAAAATCACAATAGCCACAGGCACTGGAACCAGTCGTTCCTAACCCCATGGTGCACTACCCATGCACCACATTTCCCTTCCCTATGTTCATTCCCGAC